AAAATTAATAATTGCTGAAAATCAGGAAGTTCAGCTGAGGTTGATATGTACATTTAGTTAACTAGTTCGCAAAAATTGTGCAGGTTTTTTACTGCCAATAACTGATTAATGACGATATGAATGTTTTCAATATATATGCAATAGATTTCCCCAATTATCCAACTCATTCAGCAAAAAAAATTAAAAACATGTAAATTAAATCCAAAGTAACAAAGCTAGGGGGTGTCCCGTTTGAATTTCGAACCCAGCATTCTGTTCATATTATAAAATAAAACGAGAAGGAACGTGTGAGTCGCTTCTGGGGACGCGACTCTACTTATACCCGTACTCAGTCAGTATATACATTTTTGAGCTTATGATTATATAGAATTTTAGAATTAAAAAAAAAAAAATTTACATTTTAAATTTTTTTGCTACATCTGTTATCTACAGCTACATCTACAATGTATATTTTACATCTAACATGTAGATTCTACATGTACCATTTATATTCTACATCTCCTCCGCTAGGGGTTGCTCGCGCACTGAACGCGGCAGAGTGTGCGAGCGAGAAACAGAATCAGTAGCGTCAGCAGCGCTGGAGAAGGAGTGGGAACCAACAGAAAATTAATTTCTTCATTCTGGCTATAATTATGATCCGATCTAGTTCAGATTCGGCAGTCTGGTAGATATGGTCATTCTCTACGATACTGCGTTTTTAGTTTTATCGTATCTTTAAAAATGTGCCTGCCACAGATTTTCGTTCTTTGTGTGGGCGGAAGGGGGCGGGGCGAAATTTTGAAATACACTTGTAGCAGTGTGATATCACATGAGTGTGGAAACCAAATTTGGTTGCCCTAGCTCTTATAGTCTCTGAGATCTAGGCGCTCAACAAGACGGACAGACAGACAGACAGACAGACAGACAGACAGACGGACAGACGGAGACAGACATGGCTATATCGACTCGCCTATTGATGCTGATCAAGAATATATATACTTTATGGGGTCGGAAACGTTTCCTTCTCTGCGTTACACACATCCACTTTTACCACAAATCTAATATACCCCTTAACTCTTTTTTGAGTACGGGTATAATTAATTCGAAATTCATTAATAACACTACTCGACAAAATCAAACTTTTTTCCTCGACTTTTTCTGATAGATTTGGGGCTTTAACATTTTTTTAAGAATTATGCTTTTGTTTTCTATGGCAGAACTTTTTTTAAAGAATTTTTGATGACTGGTATTTTTAAAGCTTTTTTACATAACATTAGTATCTTACATTTGGTTTTAATGAACTTTGCCATTCTAAAAAGCTAATAAATAAATTTGACCCAAATGATTTGTGAAATCAGCTTACGGTTTGGGATCTATGAAGCTTTCAAATGCAATAATGATAATAATTTTGGTGTGCTATTTTTTTCGAAATTTTGAAAAAGTATATGTTGTTCTATTCTTTTGTATGTATTACAGGTGTAATTAATTCAACGTCGTTTACAGTGCTTACGGTGGATCTAAAATTCGTACTTTTTGGTAATTTTCGGGTCCAAGTGCCCAATTGGGATCAAAGCAAACGAGGTCGACTTTTATTTTTTGGTACCTGATCATGTTCCTTTGGCTTAAATGTTGTTGACAATTACTTTTATTCGTTATGCCTAATCTAAGGTATGGTACCTATGTAAGTACCTATTCAGGTAAAATGCTGACCTTTATTTTTTCATAACTGCTGCTCCCCACAAATTAGATCTAAGTCGCGTCTACTTAATCATAGTTATGGATATATAACTCTGTGCCTATAGTGTAGTTCTGACATCCTTCAGAATACGATCGTGTGTTTGCCAAAACATCTTGTCTATAATTAAAATCAATTGTCATGGATATCTCTGGCCGATCATTTTCATGTTCTTCCCAAGCAGACTAATTTTGCTACATATGTGGTTACAACGAAATGAAAGTCGGTTTTACCGAAACTGTCCAACAACAGTACGAAGAAAACTTTAAAATCAAGACCGTACGTTTTGTTGAAGAGTGGGCACCAAGCTGTATATGTGAAATGTGTAGATTGAATTTAACAGCATATTATTACGACGAAAAGTATGTTAGCCCAATTCACAAACTTTTAAGTCTACAAAAAATACCAAACATTATTTTTTTTATTACAATTTTTTTTAGGAAACAATTTAAATTTGGTAGTCCAATGCTGTAAAAAACATGCAGATTCTACATGTACCATTTATATTCTACATCTTCTCCGCCAGCGGGCGCTCGCGTACATAACGAGGCAAAGTGTGCGAGCGAGAAAGAGAATGAGTAGCGGGTCTCTTGCTGTAGGAGGCGGGGGAAGCAACTTAAAATCTGGTCAATCTGGTAGATATGGTCATTCTCTACGATACTGCGTTTTTAGTTTTATCGTATCTTTAAAATTGTGCCTGTCACAGATTTTCTTTCTTTTTGGCGCGGAAGGGGGAGGGGCAAAATTTTGAAGTACACATGTAGCAGTGTGATATCAAATGAGTCTGGAAACAAAATGTATCTTATAGTCTCTGAGATCTAGGCGCTCATCAAGACGGACAGACAGACATGGCTATATCGACTCGGCTATTGATGCTGATCAAGAATATATACTTTATGGGGTCGGAAACATTTCCTTCTCTGCGTTGCACACATCCACTTTTTACCACAATCATAAGCCCAAAACTGTATATACTGACTGAGTATGGGTAGAGTCACGTCCCGACAAGCGACTCACACGTACCTTCTCATTTTTACACAGGAATACTCTGGCTAAAACGTGAAGCTTTCAGATGTAATATTACCACCATTGCATATTAAGCTAGGACTAATGACAAATTTTGTAAAAGCACTGGATAAGGAAGGTGAATCAATAGGTGAATACCTAGGAACTGTTTTTCCACGTCTGTCGCTGGCAAAAGTGAAAGAACGAGTATTGAACGAGTATGGTCCCCAAATAAAAAAACTGCTTAAATATGAAATATATCTAAATATTTTATCTAGGAATGAAAAAGAAGCCTGGAACTCATTCCGACTCGTAGCAACCAACTTTATTGGTAACAGAAAATTTGATGATTATATTAATATCGTTTAAGACTTAATTAGTAATTATGAAAAAATCGTGGCAAATATGTCTCTAAAAATCCATTTCCTGCACTTCCACTTAGACTTTTTTCCGCCAAACCTAGGGGACCTCATGATGAACACGGAGAAAGATTTCACCAGCAATTTGGTATGAGAATATGCTGGGCGACTTTGTGTGGAATTAAGGAATCTGATTCTAATGACAAAGGAATACAGCCAGAAAACTTAAATTACACTACTCGACAAAATTTAACTTTTTATTTAGGCTGTGAACCAAAATTACTTTTTCTGATAGATTTCGGGATTTAAAAATTTTTGTAGAACTTTATAATTTGTTGTATGGTGTAATATTTTTTTAAATAATTTTTAAAATCTGGTATTTTTTTCATGGTTTTTTCAGAGGTTGTGCTTCTATTTTCACATAACTTAAGTATCTTATATCTGGTTGCATAAACCTTACCAGTTCTGAAAAGCTAACAAATGCAGCTATAAATACGACCCAGATTTTTATCTGCAGCTTAACGACTAAAAGATATTAAAGATATTAAAGATATCAAAGATATTAAAGATATCAAGATATTAAAGATATTAAAGATATCAAATTCAAATTTTATTATTTTTTGCGGTATTTTTTTTTTTCGAAATTTTGATTTTAAAAACTCGAGAAAAGTCGAAAAAAATAATTCTTGGCCAACATTTTTGGTTTTAGATAGACGCATTAATTAGGCGTCGTTTAAGGTATTGTTCATTAAAAACTATGGATAAACGGTGGAGCTAAAATTCGTTAGCCAAACCTCAAAAGTGAAAAAATAGACAAAAAATACTTTTTACCAAAAATTTAACCCCTTTTCGTTTGCTTTGTTTCCAATTGGCAGTTTGGCCCGCAACCTTCCAAAAAGTATTTTTTGTCTATTTTTTCACTTTTGAGGTTTGGACTAGCAGTTGGGAAAAAAAGATCAACATATGACGTGAACAAGTACTTATGATTAGGTCGATTAGGTATAACGAATACAAGTAAATGTCAACAACATTTAACGCCAAAGGAAGAGGAACAGTACCAAAAATTCCAATTGGGAGCTTGGGCCGGCAACCTTCGAAAATGTATTTTTATTTACGTACTTACCAAACGGTAATCAAAAATTAGAACGTTTTTGGGTCAATTTTATAGCTGCATCAATTAGCTTTGCAGAATTGCAAAGTTTATTACAACCAAATGTAAGATACTTAAGTTATGTGAAAAAAGAGGCGCTACATCTAAATACATTAAATAAAATACCAGACTTCAGAAATTATTGTTAAAAAGTTCTGCCATAGAAAAAAAATATCATCAAAAAATGTATAAGTCCCAAATCTTTCAGAAAAATCGGTTTGGTTCCTTGACGAAAAATCGTGTCGGGTAGTGTAATTAGTAATGGGTTTCGAATTCATTTTCTGACCAATGCTATCACGCATTCCACGACACAAACAAAAAAAATTTCATTAAATTCACAAGTTCATAATTATTTTAAAGTAAAAATAAATATAGATTTTTATCATTGTAATTATAATAACTTTTTTTTTTATAATTACTAATTAAGCCTAAGACGATATTAATATAATAATCAGATTTGCTGCTACCAAGAGTGCTACGAGTCGGAATGAGTTCCAGGCTGCTTTTTATTTTTTTTTAAGCGGTTTTTTTATTTGGGGACTATCAAATACTCGTTCCTTCACTATTGCCAGCGGCAGACGTGGAAAACCCGTTCTTGGGTATTCACCAATTGATTCACCTTCCTTATACAGTGCTTTTACAAAATTTGTCATTAGTCCTAGCTTAACATGGAACGGTGGTAAAGTTACATCTGAAAACTGCACAGAAAGCAGCATTTTTTTTTATAACCACCTTGTAATCCCGTCAGCGTGGCTACGACTTTTAAGTCAAATGCCTGGTGGTTTTTATATTTTATGTTTTCAAACAATTTTTTTATTGTTTAATATGTTTCTTTCATATTGACAGCATGGACGATGGGAACAGAAGGCTTTTGGTTTCCATTGTGAAGCAAAACAGCCTTTAAACTATCCTTGCTGCTATAAAAAAAAAACTCCAATCTTTTGAGTCGTAAGCTTCACCCAGTTTCTTGAATGGTCCGAAGAGAATTCCGAAAAGCTAATAAGTACAGCTGTCAATGTAATTTGCAAGATATAATCTGAGAAATTTAAAGCTTTCAAATGGAAAATGGTATTTTGTTTCTGAAAAACCTAATTAACAAATTTTTTGTAGTTGTATATTTTCTTCTTCTAGGCGCATTAGCTGGGAGTCATGAAAAATCGTGCAATTAATGGCTGATGCTGATCGTTTTTCCAAACTTACCAGAATCACACATTACCTTACATACCGTTCTGTACCTTGGCCTTATTGTAATTCCCAATTTACTTGTAAAACTAGTAAACACGACATTTATGCTGTGACCCAAAATGACTTTTGCTTATAGATTTCGGGGTTTAAAAATTTTTAACGAATTATGTTTTTTTATGGTTTAGTTTTCTTAAAAATCTTTTATTTTTTTAATGTTTTTTTTCAGATGTAGTGCTTCTATTTTTTACATAACTTAAGTATCTTATATTGGTTGCAGTTGCATGGGTATATGTTTAATTCAGGAGTCTATACTCCTTTAAAAAAAAACCGTCGATAGACCGTCAATAATAAAGAATTTACGAGCAAAAATCATTTCTCGGTCGGATATGGTTTTTTTTAAGGGAATTTACAAGTTTATAATAAAGGTTAAAAAGTTGGAAATTTTGTATTTTTGCTCCTTTGCTTAAAATTAAATAAAATTTGATAGACCGCGAATTATTCAGAATTTTGGTGCAATAAGTTTTTGTCGGTCGCACATAGTTCTTTTTAAGAGAATTTTCCAAGTTTCACATTTTGAAAATTTTGTATTCGAAAACTGAAAGTTTTTGCACGTAAATTCTTTCTAGTTAGCGATCTATCGACTTTTTTGTTTTTGTTTGTTTTTGAGCATCGGTTCGAAAATTAAAATTATTTAATCTTTTTTCTCTTTTTGCATGATTTATTTTGAATTTTAAAATATTTTACATTTTACATTTTTTTGCTACATCTATTATTTACATATACATCTACAATGCATATTCTACATATAAAGTGTATATTATACATGCACCATGCACCATAATCTACATATTCTCCGCAAAGGTCTCGTATTCTGTGCAAAGGTCATTGAACAGGGCAGAGTGTGTCCGAGCGGAAAAGATAATTTGTAGCGTGGTCTCGTGCTGGAAGAGGTGGGGGAAGCAGAGAAATAAATAAATATTTTAAAATTCTACATAAATCATAAGCTCAAAAATTTATATACTGACTGAGTACGGGTATAAAAGTAGAGTCGCGTCCCCAGAAGCGACTCACAAGTTCCTTCTCGTTGAATATACGAACGAAGGAGTACAAATAATAATAATAATAATATTTTTCAATCAATTCTATCAATCGCAACTTAACGAAAATATATATAACTGCAGCAGATAAAATATTTTAAGATTCTAATAAAATAGATCATTATGGTCAAAGGGGATAAGCGAAGTGCAAGCGTTAGAATAAAATTATAACTAGCAATCGTGGTTCCCGTCTTTCTGTCTATTTTTTCCCGTGTTTATGACAGGTGCAAGCAACATTGGAAGAGATGGTGTGAAGATCCTACCCACATTAACCAACACATAAATCAGTCCCTTTTGAAAACAGTGATACGAAAGGAAGGAAAAAGGGCATGAGCATTTTTTATGATACCAATACCGCCGCTAACGTATAATTACATATAAAATGTATTGCATAAGTTGCATAAATCAAAAGATTACATACGTATAAATATATGTACTAAATGTTATATACTGACTACGGTTTTGGTTAGGGATCTTTTCAAATAATTTAAAATGGTAAGTATTTATGATCTTTTCAGAGATAAGCTGGCGTTTTGCATATCACTTCAGAATGAGTATGTTTTTAGGTATGTTGTATGAGTATGTATGAGTATGTTTTTAGCTCAAGCTTTCAAATGAAAAATTTTTTAATTTGGGCAGGTTTTCTATATACTCAGGAAAATATGTGCTAATAATAATCTATACTATAAATATAATATAATATAAGAAAAATAATAAGAAAAAGAATCAATTATTCTTATATTTTATTCGTACGGACATGGTTTTAAGGATTTTTTAAGGTACCGCTTATAAAAAGGACGTAGCTGCAGCCGTTTTGACCAAACTGCTAAAATCTCATTTTAACTTACTTAGATACTGAAATCGAGCTCCAGGTTTTTTTTACAGCTTCTCAAAGCTGGTTGTTGTTAGTGGACTTTATTTCAGAGAATTATATTTTTACCACACAACATAAATTCCCAATTGGATATCTCTCAATCGGGTAGTGACGGATGACGGATAGTCGAAAATTTCCTTGGTATCGAAGTATCCTTCAGATCGTTGTTCTCCTGGGACGTCCAAAAAAGCGGCATTACCTCCGAGTAAGTTGTAGTATCAAGTCATCCATGATATTTTGATTGACAAATACTTAAAATGATCCAATTCCGTAGTACGAAAAAAATCTCCAAGCCATTATTGAAAAGTAGTCGTGTTTTACACTTTTGGTTAAATTTAGAGAACGGTGGTCGTTTTACACATCAACAAGATTCGCGGGCAGAAAAAATAAGAGACTTATGTGACTACACCTTTTTTCCTGTGAAAATATTTTTTTTTGTGTTCGGGACTTTGGATTGTAGAAATATATATATATAGAAATATATATTTCCAAGCTTTTATGTAATTATAAAAACCCTTTCTGCTTTATATTTAAATCTGGCATCTGACGTACGTTACCAAATTCGGGGTAATAAAAGTTAAATAATATACCGGGATTGGGAAAATTATCTGGGATTTTTTATACAGTTCAATATGTTTGAGAGACTTTGTGGAAAACTTTTATCAAGATTTATATTTCTTATCGTAGATAATAGTAAAGGAAAACATGTCCAAAAAGATTAACTTTATCCTATTTAAATAGTTTTTCACATCAAAGTTCATGACATTATGTCAAATGCTTAAATAATTTAAACTTCAATATACATATTTAAAAAATAATATTGGGACAAATGTATATGGGAATTTGTTTTTTTATTGGCTTGTAATATTTTTTGTCATGGTAGACATTTTGGCGGAAATGCCCATGTAGTTGTACTATTTATACCGCAACTACATTTATTGTGTAAACAAATGGTCATAAACGAGTCTCAAGCTTGTTACATCAAGTATCGGACTATTTGAATAGTTCTGTGGAGACTCTCCAATGTGCGCAGAACAGTGTCCAAAAAGTTCAAGCGCTCTCTTATGTTCGACGAACAATCTCCAAAAAGTTCTGCATGCAAGGTAAGTAATGAAGAAAGGTATACTATTAAACACAACAACAAATTAAGTTGTAAAATTTAAGGCTTTGGGTTTTCAAAAAGAATAAAGGCTTCTTCTATAGGGGACTAATATGTATTTCTTAAATTTGCCATATACATATATTGCGAAACTCTATACATCGTTGTCGCAACATACATACCTTGTTTTTGAGCGCTATGCAACAGCAAACATTTCTGTCGAACCAAACTACAGCCATGGGAACAGGTTCGTTCGCACCGTTGCGGACGTTTTGGATTATAAAATTTGAAATTGTAACTCACAAAAGTCTCCGGTCATAACTCGATCTGTCCATCATATACACGTCGGCCGCGGACTACGAAACAACAGAAATTTTGTATTGTGTTAACTTGGTTGTTTGTCTTGTTGAACAGGGGAACTGGCCGTTTTGAGAAAATCAAATCCTAATGCCGACCTGCCAACGACGAAACCGAAGGTGCTAACTCGTCCAACTTTTAAAAACTCCCGCGCGTGTTATAGTAGATGGACTGACGGCTGTAAACAGTATACATATAATATAGAATTAATAAGTGTTGATTGCATTGTGATATAATATCATAATAGGACTGTTTTTGGCTTAATTTTAGTGAATGACTGAGTTTACTGCCTATTTATATTAGAGCCATGCTCTACGGACCCAAGGAATTTAAAATGAACAACTAAAAAGGATATTTAAATTACAATGCTTTTTTGTGTGCAATTACATTGAAAAAGATATATCCTATGGGTTTCTTTTGATTAAATGTAAGCAATAAATGAGGAATAACATCAAAAAAATACTTCAAAATGCACATGGAGGATCTCCGAAGTCTGAGTGATCAAAAGCTTTCATTGACTATCAATTAGAAAATCCATATACATACATATGTATGTATGTATGTATGTACATACATTCAACCTGTTTTCAACTAGTGCCCCATATACAAAGTATAACTATAGTCTATTTAAGTGAGCTTTAAATTCGAAAATAGGAAAAGCATTCCAGTCGTTTTAAAATACCAAACAAATCAACCCTATGAAAAAATATAAAAGTGTTTACTACCTTCCTCGTATGTCGGAAATTTCTATTCCTATTAATTGTGGAAAAAGAATATCCTTAGTTAATCACAACGCTCGTGTACTCATAATCATCTCGGTTTTATCTCGGAGCTAATATTAAGTGCCTTGGCTGATCTATACATATATGTATGTACACACATGGATATATGCATATATTCATTTTTTTTCCTGACAGACTGGCATTCATAAAAGTACATCTCAGATAAACCCAGATATCTTCATTTTTCGGATGGCTTTGCTTAGAAAATATTTTTGAAAACTGATACCGCCAAGATGGCGGGCTGGACTTATGTACAAGTGTATGTATTTATGTACCTTGACATTTAAGCAACCTTTTTAATTAAAATTTGATCCGACAATTGCAAAGTTTTGTTTTCATAACATAATATTGTTTGTTGTTGTTCTTTCAAATATGTACATATACATGTGTACATATTTATTTACCTAAATAAACTCATTGTTGATCATCTTTGTTCCTTTCTTTCTTTCTTGGCAAAGACCAGGCAGTCAGAATTCCGTCGCGTGTAATGTGCACGTCCGGAGGTCTAATATTTATACATGTACCTCTATATGTGTATGCATACCCGAAAATTCTACGTCGCCTAAGCTAGCACATATTCTAATTTAATAAATGCGTACATTTTTTATTTGTATGTGAGTACATATATGTGTATGTATGTACGTATATTGAGCATAAAAACCACTATAAAGTGTGACTACAGATTGTATGTGTTAATAACAATACCATCATGTGTATATCCAGTGCCATTTGTCATTCCTTGGTAATACCGTCAACGATCAGACCAGACAGGGCGCTCTTCAGAAGGTTAATTTGAAAAACCATTCAGAATCCCTTACGTGATTCTATTTAGCAGCTATGTCGATTTTTATCTTGCTTATTGTGAATTATTTATTGAGATTCAATCCAAATCAAGCAAAAAAAATAATGACGGTTATCTTTTTTAACGCCTTTCCGCTAACAGAAACTACAAATAAGAATGCCACGATATGTTAATACATATCCATATGTATGTATGTATGTAAAAACGAAGACAATATTTATAGGTATGGGAGTGGATTTGCCCAGATATGTGCATATGTACAATGTACAAATTAGTTTCGACATATACATACATATACATATGTATTTATTTATTTTTTTTACAGAACTACATATGTACAGTTAAATTAGTTTACATTTTCAATTAAATATCTATACACATGTACTTACATACATATCACAAATGCATACTCACCTTTGCAGCCATTTTAGATTGTGTTCAAATTTCTAAATTAATGTCAATCAATCAATTGTCATTAATAATGACTCACTATGCTACGCTACTATCAACATATATTCAAATTTATTGTTTTGTAACTGAAGGACAAGATATAGCCTTATTTCAGAACTATTTTTCTTTAAAATTTACCCTTGCCTATTAAATACATAAATACTATAAGTGCAAAATTAAACAACTACCGTTTACTGCTGAAAAACAATAGCAACAAAAATGCAGAACTCCCAATCGTCTTGCGCTTGGTATCTGCCATGGTCTCTGGCCGCGCAGCAGCATCAGCAGAAAATAATGCAAATGCAGGCGCCGTTTTTGGATAAAATGGGAACTTCGTCGGTGGGAGGTATTTTCGCAACTCAGCCTCAAGTCCAACAACAACTATCACCAAACACGGCAGCAGCTCCTCCGTCAAACTATCAGCAGCCGACTTTGCATCCTAGCGCAGCTGCCGGAACCCACTTCCCGATGAGTTCCGTATATAGTTTTGGGCCAACATTACTAAGTGCAACCCAGTTGGCAAGCTACCCAGGACAGCTAAATCCGTGTCCCCAGTCACACCACCACAGTCACACACAAACTCATTTGATGCCATCTTCCATGTTCTCGTCCTTGCCTGTGAGTGCATACTATGCACCAGCTTCAGGAGTCTCCGTGGCTCAACAACAATCACTTCTGCCATCAGCTGGACGAGGATTGACCCATCAGACATCGTCTCTGTCCATGACAGTACAACCAGACCCGCGAGCATCCTCGTCGGCATGCGCTATCGTTCAGCCACTAAATTGCCTGCCACAAGATTTTCATCACCTGTCGTCTATTAACCTCAACATGAGCAGCGTCATTGGACTGAGGAACCAAGCATCTGCTCTCTCAACCATTAAAGTTGTACCAAATGTTGAATTGTTGATAAACAAAAAGGTAAGCTGCTCTTAATGTTTTTCCATGTTTAAACGAAAATACCCATTGTTATTTATTTGATTTATTATTGTATGTTAATCTACTAGCAACCAGTACTGCCTTGCACTTTGATTAATTTATGACAGACTGCGATATAAGGTGTTAATGCATTAATAAATCCTACAAGTAATGACTCTAGTACAAGACTCTAGTTTCCTATAGTAGATCAACTAGTAAATTTGGGTACAGAGTATTGAAACTATCCAGCGCATAATTATCGTAATTTTGCGTATTTATTCATTTTTAATTCCCTGTTCGGTGTTGATGACAAAATGATTATTGGAAATTTGTAGTTTGTTATTTAATCGTACCTACTACATACATACACACATCTTTTGTTACTATGTTTTTACTTTCCGATTTTCCGCGTCGCTAAAGACTAGTTTCTTTTTTCATTGACTGCATTTTGAAATTCGATAATTTCGTAAGCCAAATGCTGAGCGGAGAGCGTTACCTGTGTTAGTCAAGGTCTTCAGCATAACCAGACGCTCATAATAGTAACAGTAGCCACGATATTTTCCCATTGTTAAGTGAATACTTCATGCATATACGAGTAAGTGTAATTTACAGAGTCGAATGTCTATGACTCCACACTAACGAGCGTATGACCATGAAAATAAAGTACATAAGCGGAAACCAAAGGCACAATAATAGCGTCAAGCGTCAGACGCTTTCTGTCAAATCTTCGAATGTATTCGCATGTATGTACATACATATGTACATATGAACATCTGATCTTTAGCATTCTTCCATTTTACGAGTATTCCCGATCTGAAGATAGCCACTGCAGAACTAAACTGGCAAGATTCCTTTTCTAGCTTTTTCAAAGCAGCTAAGAGCTTATTGTTGTAAAATAAGAGTATCTTAAGATACATAAGTAGTTCCACACAACCGTTTATGGACAAAGTTGAGTTACATGTCACCAACCAGCTGTTCTTAAAACCGGCTGCTTACAAAGAGTTGCACAGGCCCATGTTGAAGGCATTGGCCAACAAATTGCTGCACTCAAATATTGCGTTAGGATAAATGCTTTGTATATGCATAATAATGCTAAGCTAAATTTTAATTACACCTGCTGGCGAGATCTAAGCGTACAACCCTTGGGATCGTGCGACTTAGGTTACATTCTGTTATGATTTAGAATCATATGATTCCAAAGCAGAGAACGTTGAATCAATTTTGTATTGTTTGTTTTTCGACTTCTACATAGACCCTGAATTTTTAGAATTTTGGGCAGACATCTATATATTTTTTGTCATAGGAAAAATCAGTAAAAAGCAAGTCCTTGTGGGAAAACCTTTTCGTTCACTCTTGCACCAAAGAAACCGGTTCGGATTTATCTACCTATATATGTACATGTACATATGTATGAATTTATTGGTTCTTTTACCGAGGAAAAGAGCCCTGCATGTGAAGTTTGTGGACAGATTGGTTGGTTTTAAGAACAAATTAATTTTGCAGGAAACTTTCTTAGCTGTGCCCTTGCCTAATAGGCAAGTATAGTTTCTGTGGCTAAACAAAATTCAATTATTCCAGCTAATTAACGTATTTTTATCAATTTCTATAGAATCCAATGTTTATATAAATATCTATGTATAAATAAACATTGATTATTATCAATCTAAATTAAGTAGCTGTCTTCATTCATAAATATTTTATGTGTTCTTGAAAACTGTTAATTAATAATATTGTGGGTCGGAGTCACGTGCTGTGTTCCAGACAGGTCGGTGCTGGCATTCGTCCGTCCAATAGCACCTTGCGTAACCGAGCGGTGCGAAAGCAATGAAAGAAAGCGTGTCGCAAGGCTCTTGCAATTTGCCCCTGCTTCTCTTCTGTTCCACGAGGTAGCCCCAGCAGCCATGGTGTGGGCGTACTCATAAATATTTTCAGTGGTCTGCTGGTTCTAAAATGTGACACGATTTTCAAGCATGCCACCGACATTTACTTTGAAGCTAGTATACCAGAATGAAGAACAACTGATTCTTACAAAATTATAGACGGAGGAAAACCTGGGTATAAATAAACCAATTAAAACAAATGGACCCCAGAGATTTTTATACCCTTTAAATCGAACCTGACAATTAAATTTATGAAACCCTTTGCATGGCTGTGGCTATAAATATCGAAATCATTGTATTAATTTGGTAAGTTAATATTTGGGTAGAAACGTTTTCCTTTAACTGACTAATTTTTGTTATATGTTAGTCCCCAAACGTCTGCAAACACAATGTACTCTTTCGGCATATTGTGAATTCGATATAATTGGATTTGCATTTTATGTACATGTTATACAGTATAAGTATAGCTATCTCTAGACATATATTAAAAACGTATAATACATTAATGAAATAATGTGTGTATGTGTGTGTGTGGAAAATAAAGCTGGCAACAGGTCTCTGCTGTTGAATGATTTAATTAATTTATACATTCTGTTATTGTGCAGTTCCCATGGATGAGTAGAACTATAAAGCGTGCAGGTTCATTCATTTATCTGCAATGCCAATTATCGGAGATCTTTAGGAAAAGTATAATTTGATGGGGAATCGGGAAATAATTGTTTTTACATTAATTTTATGACTATAATATTTGCGTAGTAGCCACATGTTGGCACCGCAGAGATAGAAGGATCTCCGCTTTTATATAAGGTAAATTTATTGTTGATCCGCATCATCAGCCATCGAAGAACCATTTCCTGTTTCTACGTAAACTAATCAGTAATCCGGCAGCAAGTAGGCGGAGCCCGCACAGAGCGGATAACTATATAGAATTAATATCAGAGGAAAACTAGTCTAGTGTACGTTAAAGCATTTTTCTGTCGCAAGGTACATATGTACATACATACTACTGTGATGCCTTAGCCAATTATCCATCATGATCCTTCAACAACTAGTTTAAATTTTTTTTTATTGTTTTCATGTGTAGTAAATAAATAGTACATACGAGTATATTTTTCTCGTATGTAAATATGTCTCATTGTCTACCAATCACACAAATGATTTGCTCGTTTCTAAATTTTCAAGTAAGTCCCATTAGTGACAAATACAAATGTTTATACAAATGCAAAAAATTGTGTGTCAAGAAGTATCGACAGATGATGGGATCTTTTGGGGTTTCTAATCACAATTGAAATTTTTTTGAATATCTTAATTTATAAATATCTTACATAAGAAGTGCTGGCAACTGCGTTCTATTTGGTTGGTTCTTACTTGGTTATTTACTTCGTGATGGTATAGAAGCACATCTAAGTTTAGGATGGATATGTATATGATCGGTGACTTTTATGTGTATCTTTTGTCCATTGTCGTGTACACGTATTAGTACATTTATGCTTACATTTTCATGTAAACACATATCACAACCATTGTATTTGTGAGATTGCTTCAGGGGATTTGACCGCTAGGCTGTGTCGGCCGTCATCTTTCGTGGTATGTGGCTCTCCCGCACGGCTTTTCAGGCATGCAGCATCTTTTCATCATTCGTTGGGCGCACTGCCAAAGAAAACAAAGAACAAAAATAAAATAAAAACGTCAGCGGATAGTCGCTCTGGGAAGGCACCCCGAACACATAAGCTTCGAAGGCAAGTAGATATTCTCAAGTGTACAAGTCTATATACTATTTGTAGAACAATATTTAGGTATTCTAATGAGCTTACGTAATGTGAAACACTACGGTAACATTAGTTCTCAGCCATCTTGCCAACAAGAGGCATTTCGATCGATTCTATAAAGAAAACAGTCAAGCAAAAAATCTACGGATATAATCGTTACGTTAGGCAGGAAATCTCCAAACAACCCTCATGCTAAAACAAACCAGTAATGAAGCTCATACTTATACCCTTTATATTGGCATTTCCACCGATACCAACAAAAAATCCATACAAAATTCAAGTTAGGGGGTTTTTTAACAGAGGTTTCCTCATCTAGACGACAAACGGTTCCGAACCGCAGAATTCGTTTCTCAATTTAAGTAAAGGACCATTAAAAAACATATACAAAAAACTCAAGAATTTATTTTCGTAAAGTCAAGTCAAAGTTAAAAAATTTTAAAATATTATGTGTAGCGGAAATGAAGATTAAACGTTCCCTGTCGATCCAATAAAATAAAAGTAGTATTTTGCATAGAAAAATATGTAACGGAAATATTTTGTGCGTGGTAAACATCTGTCCAATTTTGATATACCCTCTTCACCCTACATATGGAAATATGTACGCATATGAGATGAAATATACCCAACGGGTATTGCTGGCAACATACTTGTGGTTGTCATTCTGACTCTAATACACAATCAAGAATAGAAGAAGGATAGCTTTGGGGTGCCAGACTTTTAAAGCAAAAACAAAATTAACAAAAATGTTGTGCTCACAAAGAACCGATCGATCTATGCAGCTATTTGATATGTTGTTTTATTTTTTACTCTTGAGGTGGGTACTATTAAATTGGGCAGACTTTAGTAACGCACAAAAGAATGTATCTCCGGTCCTAGCGATGACCACTAATCCAAACTAATTCATTTTAAAAGTTGAATTAAGTATTTTAAATATATTCTTCTTTATAATTATACGCAAAAGTTAGCCCATATAACCAAACTTTCATATTTGTGTAACTATATATTATGTTTTAGACTTTATTAAAATTAAACTACATCACATGGTTTTAAAAACGATTTTACGATTTCTTTCAGAGAAAGAAGTATATGCGCATTGATATTACTTTAAAAAAAAACTATTAAAGCCTAGTACTCAGATCGAAAAAACACCTCGCGAACAGAATCAGGGTTGATATTCGTATGAAACCGAGAGAGAATTTTTTTACGGCAAAAACTGTTTTCTAGGCTCTGTACGGATCAAATCAAGTAGTAGTACGACAGTACTCAGATCAAAAAACAAAAAGGGCGGTATATACTAGAAAACTACTTATCCGAAGTATTTGCTTGTATTGCTGGTATGTTTAGACCCACCTCGAAAATTATATCAATTTGATATATTTTGCCAGCAAACACGAAGAAAACATTGCAATATGAGAACAAAAAACCAAATGAAATATTTAAATAATTGAAGATTAATTTAAATTGAAGACAAATAGAATTTTATTAATCCAGTATTATATGAATGACAATTATATGGATATTATATGGATATTATAATTTATTATTTTTTACTAATTTTCATAAATATAAAACAAATATTGTTTTCAAAACATTTTGTCTTCACGGTGGTCGGCACGGTAGGCGTCGCCATCTGCTGCTGCTGATAGTCCGACACATTACCTTGCCAATACAAGGATATACCTGAGGAAGAGCGGCTCCAGCCGAAGAAGTGCATTTTATTAACTTTAAACAAAACCAAGCAGCGGTCTGAGCAGTGTAACCGTTCGGAATGCAGTGCACACCTCTGGTCACACACTGGCCGCTCGAAGAATATATGACATTTTTTTGCTGGCAAACAGTTTTTTGATCTGAGTACTAGGCTTTAAGAACAAAGAAAATGTTTTGGACTGTTTGTATTTATCTGGTATATACTAACAAAAGAATAACAATATTATTTCCATAAACTTTTAGGATAACTACTACAACTTAAAATTCATATGACATAGGTATATGTGCATACTAATTGCAAATTAAAAATACTAATGCAATAATGTTTTTAAATTTTTTGTTTTTGCTTTTTAATAGTTTATATGCTTTCCTTTTTTTAGTGAAAATTTTTTAGAGTTATAGAGTTAATTTGATCTCATTCCTTGCTTATGAAAACCACGAGTAGCTACACAAATTATTTAAAACGGTACATAGAATGAAGCCCAAAGGGGACCATTGGAGTAAGAGATCTTCATAATAGCCTAGAATACAATCTTGCATGCCTAAAAAAAATATACCGTTGCATTTATAAAAAAATGTAAGCAAATTAATAAGTGCACGCATACTTCTTTCTCTGAAGTACATTTCACAGCGTAGCAAAAGTTGGTCAAAGTCGAAACACTTTATCATAAATATATGTATGTATTGTTGCCAAAATAAGGAAATATAGATGGATGTGTTCTTGGGGAGTTTCAATCTTAATGTATGTTTGAAAGATATGTTAAATATACATACATATTCTATTTAATGTTTACCATTGAAAGAAAATGTTGGTTTTAGCGTTTTTCAGTTGATCGTTGTAATGCTTAAGCTAGATCCACCAAATTACCCAAATAACTATGTGAAAGAGTTCCAACAAGAAACATATGCAACTGAAAAACAAGTTTAAAAATTCGTCGAAAGTATATTAATAATAATAATATAAAAGTTACAAAAAATCAGAAATAACTTGAGCATTCATGATGTTATTTTCTCTCATTTACCTTACAGGATATATTAACGAGGGAGTCCGAAAACGAGAAACTGAAAATTCCAGAAAAGAGGAAAACTGATAATAGCGATTCAATTAAGGATTTAAAAAAAGTAGGTCATTTCAAATTTGTATGCTAAATATTTATTTTGATTGGATGTTTGTAACGCAAAGAAAGAGGCCCCAGCATCCACAGCCGAGTCGCACATAATGCTCTTTATGCGTTGAAAAGATCTGATGAAAATCATTATCCACGCTATGTAAGCTTATAGTACTTATATTAACTATTTAAGGCCAAACTTGAAACTAAAGCTCTGAAAGCCAAAAGACCCGGATTTACGGATGAGCGATATCAAGAGACATCCTACTATATTGAAAATGGTAAGATATTTATTGACAAATGATATTAAATGGATTGAATACATATAATGATCATTAAAAAGGTCTTAGAAAAGTCTACCCATACTACTTCACCTTCACAACGTTCACGAAAGGACGTTGGGTGGGAGAAAAGATTCTGGATATATTTTCTCGGGAGTTTCGCGCTCACCCTTCTGAAGAGTACGAACGTTGTATTCAAGCAGGCACATTGACAGTTAACTTCGAGAAAGTCTCTATTGACTACCGGCTAAAACACAACGATCTTCTTGCAAATATAGTTCACAGGTAACTTAGCATTAACAGCTATTCTAAAAATATTGATAACCACGAGACTAATGAAGTTTGCATTCTTTTACAAGTAGTGTTTTTTTTTTTAGTAACGGACAACACCTTTAGTTGTCATAGAAAAGTTGAACGTGATTCTATATATTATCATAATAAAAACACTAAAGGAGCTATCTTCTGCGCCCCAAAGTATATATATACATGTATCTGTAAAAAATATCCCTCAAGTTAGCCACCCAAGAAAATACTTTTTAGTTGAATATATTATTTATTTATTTTATTGGTTCGGGTATTTTTGTACTTACTACTGTGAATTATCAAAATCTGACAAACCATACCGTCCCGATATGGATACGGGTAAATATGACCTCTGGCCGATATTCCTCCAATTCTTGTAAGATGCCCGATAGTCGAGATTAGTTATTGTGAACTAAGTAGAAAATTCAACATGCGGGAAGACCAGAAAGTTGCAGAGCCATGGAGAATTACGTTTTCGTTGCTGGCAATAACATTTATTGATTAGGATCTTGAGTTAATATATAATTGGGCTAATATTAATATTAATTATTAATTTTTCAATTTGGGAAGCAGTCCAACAACAAAAACAGCCCTTAGAAGCGAAATTCGAATCGAGCATCAATGTGCCTAATCATGCACACGACATGATTTTTGCTTGCATTAGTGTGGCTGAAAGTTTCGTTCAAGCACGTTTTTATTTTGTTATTAATTCTCGGGAATTCTCTTTTAAGTAGCGCAAAAAAAAGTGGCAAAATTGAAAACGGGTATTTTTTTAGCGCTTAATTTTTTCACATAACTTAAATATCTTACATTTGGTTTTAATGAACTTTGCCATTCTAAAAAGCTAAGATATGCTGTTTTTAAACCTAAACAAATTGTGATTTAGCTTACCGTTTCGGAAATACTAGCTTTCATTTTTTTTAATTTTAACTTTAAAAATGTCGAAATAAAATATGTCCTGGGTCCTTTATTATACTCGTACTCGAGGAGTTAAGCGGTGTATTAGATTTGCGCTAAAAGCGGATTTGTGAAACGCAGAGAAGGAATCGTTTCCGACCCCATAAAGTATATATATTCTTGATCAGCATCAATAGCCGAGTCGATATAGCCATGTCTGTCTGTACAGACCGGAGCATCTCTGTATGTATATAATTTTTGGTTTTTGTCAACTTTGTCCTAACTTAAAACAAAAAAACCTACCCTAGCCCCAACGAGGGCATTTTGCGAGGGCATATTAAGATTTTTGTAATTATTACAATAGATTAGTTATGTAAATTTGCTATTTTAATAATAATGCTGCAACGCATATAATGATTATGTATCTAACGACAGATTTATGGCTATACTTGCAGACACGAAGTTCCTGTGACGTGTCACCCAATTAAAATAGTGCATATGAATGAGGACATTGTAGTTGTTAATAAGCCTGCATCAATACCTGTAAGTGGCTTTGACGACCGCCATCTTAGATACGAAAATATTATAAGCGCTGACTACACTACTCGACCAAATTGAACATTTTATTTACGCTTGGAACCAAACCCACTTTTTTTTTAAGAATTATGGTTTTTTTTCTGTCAGAATTTTTTTTAAGAATTAAAAAAAAAGTATATTTTTTTATGCTTTTTGTCAGAGGTAGCGTTTTTTCACATGACTTAAATCTGGTTGTAATGAGTTTTTTTAATGATTAATTATTTTACTTTTACTTTTTTTTAATTTGTACTTTTAAAACTCAGAAAATTGAAAAAAATTTTATCCTGTGTCTCTATATTTTTTGTGTATAAGTGCATTCATTAGTCGACGTTAGAAGCATTATTCATTAAAATCTATGGAAAAACGGCTGAGCTATAATTGGGTGTAATATTACATTTTACCGCTTAAAAGCCGCAGCTAGTATTAATGGAAAAATCATTACAGCCATTACCTAAGTTATGTGAAAAATAGAAGAGATAGCTCTATCACTTTTTAAAATAAAATTCTGGCATAAAAATGCCAGGCATTAGGCTGGGCCAAAAAATATTTTTTTCGAAATTCAAACGGGACACCCCCTAGTTTTGTTACCTTGGATTTAATAGTAAGTTTACATGATTTTATTTATTTTTATTTTTTTAGAGGTTGCTACCGAACTTTACAAAAAATTTTAATCATGAAAATTAAAAAAAAAAATGTTTGCGGAATGAGTTGGATAATTGGTTAAATCTATTGCATATACAAAAAAATTTTAATCTAATCTTTTAATTTTAACTAGTTAACTAAATATATCAATCTCAGCTATACTTCTAATCGTTAATTTTTAAAAAAAAACTAAAAAAAATCAAAATACCTTATTTTCAATATGAACTTATGTCTAAGTTTCAATATTGTTTGAAAAAACCGACGAACTAAATTTTTTTAATGTATATTTACCCAAAAGCTTGTATTTTCTTTTCGTGGTAACAACCCCCAGACATTAAACTAAAAATTTGCAAAAAATTGTATAATTTTATTAAATAACAAAGAATAGAATTAGGGGGTGGGGTGTCCCTTTGAAAAAACAAAAAATTAATTTTTTGGTCAAATTTTGTCCCAGCCTAATATATATATGTAAATTTATTTGAACTAGTATGAATTTACTCGCTATAAATACATATGTATGTATGCCGTGTAACTCTAAGTAAACGGGAATGGTCCACGTCTGTCCAAGAAACAAATAGAAAAAATTAACTGATTTTATTAATATTAGATAATTCAAAATGTGCCTTTACGATATACATACATACATATGTGATGCTACATTTTACAATTTTATTGTATTAATATATATACATACATATTAGGCTGGGCCAAAAAATATTCAAACGGGACACCCCCTAGTTTTGTTACCTTGGATTTAATAGTAATTTACAGTTTTTTTTAATTTTTTTAAATTTTTTAGAGGTTGCTACCGAACTTTACAAAAAATTTTAATCAAGAAAATTAAAAAAAAAAATGTTGTTGCGGAATGAGTTGGATAATTGGTTAAATCTATTGCATATAATTAATACCATTCATATCGTCATTAATCAGTTATTGGGAGTAAGAAACCTGCACAAGTTTTTGCGATCTAACTAAATATATCAACCTCAGCTGAACTTCTTGATTTTCACCAATCGTTAATTTTTTAACAGTAACTAAAAAAAAAAAAAAAATACCTAATTATCAATATGAACTAGTTTCTAAGTTTCAAAATTATTTGAAAAAACCGCCGAATTAAATTTTTTTTAATGTATATTTACCCAAAAATTTTTATTTTCTTTCCGTGGTAGCAACGCCCAAACATTAAACTAAAAATTTAAAAAAAAATTGTATAATTTTATTGAATACCAAAAAATAGAATTGTCCCTTTGAAAAAACAAAAAATTAATTTTTTGGTCAAATTTTGGCCCTGCCTTATGTGCATGTGTAAAGGATCAAAATCTATCAAAAAAAGATGGCATTGTTCAAATCGGAGAAATGGTGTCGGGTAGTGTTTTTTTATCCTTGCATTTGTTTTTACTTAATTTCAAATAAAGTATTTGTTTATAATCTTTTTTTAAGTATTTCCATTCATTTACAATTAAATTAAAAACGATACGATAATGTGAATATGTATTTAGGTATTTATTCAAACTCTTGCATACATGCAGGTGTCACTCGAAAAATATAATCTAACCGAAAAGTTGAGGCTAGTTTACTAAACCGGAAAGTTTTTTCAAGCGTAAATACGATCAATATTTTAAGCATTGAAAACAAACTGAAAATATTTCCGTATTTGGCTACAAAAAAATAAGAAATTACCTTTATAGAAAAAAAATATTTTGTATTGATAAAATCTAACTTTTTTTTTCTCAAGGATCCAAACCGACTTTTTCTGATAGATATGGGACTTTTAAACTTTGTAAAGAATCATTGTTTTTTTCTATGGCAGAACTTTTTTTTTAAGTCTGGAATTTTTTTTAAAACGTTTTTCAGAGGTAGCACTTCTTTTTTTCACATTACTCTAGTATATTACGTCTGGTTGTTAAGAACTTTGCTATTTTGAAAAGATAGTTAAACAGCTAGCTTACCGTCTGGGACATATAAAGCATTGAAATGCAAAAATGATGATTTTTGTGCGGTATTTTTTACGAAATTTTGACTTTAAAAACTCAGGAAAATTCGAAAATTATATCCGGTGTTCTCTATTTTTTTGGTGTATATGTGCTTTATATAGGCGTCGTTAAATAATATGGAGAAACTTTGGAGCTAAAATTCGTTAACCAAACATAAAAAATGAAAAAAATTAACAAAAATACCTTTTGGAAGTTTGCGGGCCCAAGTGCCAATTTTGAACAAGGGAACGCGATCAGGTACCAAATGTACAACCCTTTTTCGTTTGCTTTGTTCCCAATTGGTAGTTCAATTCATTTCAATGCTTTATATTTCCCAGACGGTAAGCTGAAATCACAAAGTGTTTGGGCTTAACTTCTAGTTGTTTTAATTATCTTTTCTTCGAAAAAAAAGTTCTGCCATAGAAAATATCATCAAACCATTTCTAAGCCCCAAATCTTTAAGAAAAAGTTGGTTTAGTTCCTTGAGCAAAACTCGTGTTGACTAGTGTATTTTAACATGTCCTGTTTTGTATGTGTATCTTTAGGTACATCCTTGTGGCCGCTATAGGCACAATACAGTTGTTTTCATACTCGCTAAGGAATTCAACCTCAAGAATCTGCGCACAATTCATAGGCTTGACCGCTTAACATCCGGCCTATTACTATTTGGACGGAGCCCAAAGAAAGCACGACAAATGGAGCAGCAAATTCGCAATAGACAAGTAGAAAAAGAGTATATATGTAGAGTGGAGGGAATTTTTCCAGAGTAAGATAAAGAAAACTATTACAATTACTATTACCATTACTATTATGTATTTTTGAATTCTTAGCGAAATCTTAGAATGTAAGGAACCCATTGAGGTAGTAAGTTACAAGATTGGGGTGTGTAAAGTCTCGCAACGAGGGAAAGATTGTACCACCACTTTTAAAAAACTTTCACAAAACGGCAAAACTAGTGTGGTACTGTGCAAACCACTTACTGGACGGATGCATCAGATCCGGGTACATTTGCAATATCTAGGTGAGAGTAACCCTTGATCATACCCCACGATTAATAAGCTTTTAACTAACGAAAATTTATTTTATAGGTTATCCAATTCTTAACGATCCACTATACAATCATGAAGTCTTCGGCCCATTAAAGGGGCGTTCTGGGGATATCGGTGGAAAGTCAGACGATGAACTTATACGAGATCTCATTAATATCCATAATGCAGAGAACTGGCTAGGAATAGATTATGATTCCGATATATCTATATTTAAAAATTCTAAGGACGAAACAGATGGGGAGAGCCTTAGCAGCGACCAAATTTTCGGTTGGTATATAAATATACATAGATTAGGCTGGGCCAAAATTTGACAAACTAATTTTTATACCCGTACTCAAAATAGAGTTAAGGGGTATATTAGATTTGTGGTAAAAGTGGATGTGTGCAACGCAAAGAAGGAAACGTTTCCGACCCCATAAAGTATATATATTCTTGATCAGCATCATCACCCTTCCACCCCCACAAAGGACGAAAATCTGTGGCAGGCACAATTTTAAAGATACGATAAAACTAAAAACGCAGTATCGTAGAAAATGACCATATCTACCAGATTGCCGAATCTGAATCAGATCGGATCATAACACTACTCGACAAAATCGAACTTTTTTTTTCCTCAAGGATCCAAACCGACTTTTTCTGATAGATATAGGGATTTAAAATTTTTTAAAGAATTATGGTTTTTTTTCTATGGCAGAACTTTTTTTTGAAGAATTTTTGAAAACTGGTATTTTTCTTTAAGCTTTTTTCAGAGGTAGCGCTTGTTTTTTTCACATAACTCTAGTATCTTTCATCTGGTTGTTAAGAACTTTGCTATTTTGAAAAGGTAATTAAAACAGCTAGAAGTTAGACCCAAACACTTTGTGATTACAGCTTACCGTCTGGGAAATATAAAGCATTGAAATGCAAAAATTATGATTTTTTTGCGGTATTTTTTACGACATTTTGACTTTAAAAACTCAGGAAAAGTCGAAAAAAAATTATATCCTGTGTTCTCTATTTTTTTGTGTAGAGGTGGATTAATTTGGCGTCGTTTAAGGTATCGCTCATTAAGAGCTATGGAGAGACTTTGGAGCTAAAATTCGTTAACCAAACCTAAAAAATGAAAAAAATGAACAAAAAATACCTTTTGGAAGGTTGCGAGCTCAACTACCCATTGGGAATTGGGATCGCGATCAGGTACCAAATGTACAACCCTTTTTCGTTTGCTTTGTTCCCAATTGGCAGTTGAGCTCGCAACCTTCCAAAAGGTATTTTTTGTTCATTTTTTTCATTTTTTAGGTTTGGTTAACGAATTTTAGCTCCAAAGTCTCTCCATAGCTCTTAATGAGCGATACCTTAAACGACGCCAAATTATTGCACCTCTACACAAAAAAATAGAGAACACAGGATATAATTTTTTTTCGACTTTTCCTGAATTTTTAAAGTCAAAATTTCGTAAAAAATACCGCAAAAAATCATAATTTTTGCATTTCAATGCTTTATATTTCCCAGACGGTAAGCTGTAATCACAAAGTGTTTGGGTTTAACTTCTAGCTGTTTTAATTATCTTTTCAAAATAGCAAAGTTCTTTACAACCAGACGTAAGATACTAGAGCTATGTGAAAAAAACAAGCGCTAACTCTGAAAAAAGCTTTAAAAAAATACCAGTTTTCAAAAATTCTTCAAAAAAAAGTTCTGCCATGGAAAAAAAATAAAAAATATCATCAAACCATTTCTAAGCCCCAAATCTTTAAGAAAAAGTTCGTTTTGTCCCTTGAAGAAAAATCGTGTTGACTAGTGTAATTATAGCCAGAATGAAGAAATTAATTTTCTGTTGGTTCCCTCTCCTTCTCCAGCGCTGCTGACGCTACTGATTCTCTTTCTCACTCGCACACTCTGCCGCGTTCAGTGCGCGAGCAACCCCTAGCGGAGACGATGTAGAATCTAAATGGTACATGTAGAATCTACATGTTAGATGTAGAATATACATTGTAGATGTAGATGTAGATAACAGATGTAGGAAAAAAATGTAAAATGTAATTTTTTTTTTTTCAATTCTAAAAAATCATAAGCTCAAAAATGTATATACGGACTGAGTACGGGTATAAGTAGAGTCGCGTCCCCAGAAGCGACTCACACGTTCCTTTTCGTTTTTTATTTTTTTAAGCTGACACCCCTTTATTTGTTCACTGTTAGTAAATAGATTTCACTGCAGAATCTAATTCATGCAAAACAAATTTTTTTTAAATTTTTTTATTAAAAAATTGTTAAATTCGGTAGAAATCTCAATAAAATTTTAAATAAAAATAGAATATTACTATCTATTACTATTATTACTATTACTATTAAAAAAAAAATGTCACCGATACTGTTAAAAAAAATTTGCGTATATTTTGTATTTTTAATATAATTTTAGCTGTTCAGCATAGCGATGACGACGTGGGTGTGAATTCACGGGAAACTACTCCGCCTTGCGTAGATCCTTCCCGAGCTGAAGTGAACGTCAAAAAATTAGAGCCTGCCAACGTTTCGAGGGAATTTTCATGTACTGATATGAAGGATCCTACCAAAGTTTCGTCAGTACTGCAGACATCCGATACTACCCACGCTGTCGAGGGTGGAAATGTGGATGTTGGTATTAAGCTAAATAAAATCACAACAGATGCGCATTGTTATGAGTGCAAGGTGCACTACCGTGATCCAAAGTCTAAGGACCTTATCATGTATCTGCACGCTTGGAAATATAAGGTTTGAGTGCAAAATTGTATTTGCAGATATGTTTTTCTTAATCAATAAATAACCTTTTCTTTATAGGGTCCTGGATGGGAGTACGAAACTGAATTTCCTTATTGGGCTCGGACAAATTGGGAGAACTCAGAGTCTACTTAAGTAGCAATAAATACTGTCATATAACCTTGTAAAGGGGGACTTTGACTAAATATTGGCTAAGCACAGATGAAAGCATATTTGACCACATCGAGTATATGACTTCTGATAAGAATGACAAACAAGAGGTGTCCGTCTGTCAGCTTCTTTCAGTTAAAGCTATCTAGCCGAAACATTTCACAGACCTCTCCATACAGTTAGTACAGCCGTTAGGAACCGCCAAGACAAAATAGGTAAAGGCACTATAAATCGAAAAATATGTTTTTGTTAGAGGATATGTCTCTCTTTATGAATATAATGTATCGTGTACTTTATAGCCAAGTCAAATTGACTAAAATTCTGATAAATTTTCATATAGCTGATAAACAAGTGATAAAGAGGTATGCTTCGGCCCCCGAAACTAGCCTTTCTTTGATTTTTTTAAGTTTATAGATGTACATATTAATTTACTATAATCTTAGAGATACATAACTATATATTAGGCTGGGCCAAAAAATAATTTTTTCCAAATTCAAACGGGACACCCCCTAGTTTTGTTACCTTGGATTTAATAAAAGTTTACATGATTTGATTTTTTTTTTTTAGGTTGCTACCGAACTTTACAAAAAATTTTAATCTAGAAAATTAAAAAAAAAAATGTTTGCGGAATGAGTTGGATAATTCTATTCTATCTATTGCATATACAAAAAAATTTTAATCAAGAAAATTAAAAAAAAATGTTGTTGCTGAATGAGTTGGATAACACTACTCAACACGATTTTTCCTCAAGGAACAAAACCAACTTTTTATTAAAGATTTGGGGCTTAGAAATGGTTTGATGATATTTTTTTTTTTTCTATGGCAGAACTTTTTTTTGCAGAATTTTTTAAATCTGGTATTTTTTTTTTAGCTTTTTTCAGAGGTAGCGATAGTTTTTTTCACATAACTTTAGTATCTTACGTCTGGTTGTAAAGAACTTTGCTATTTTGAAAAGATAATTAAAACAGCTAGAAGTTAAGCCCAAACACTTTGTGATTACAGCTTACCGTCTGGGAAATATAAAGCATTGAAATGCAAAAATTATGATTTTTGTGCGGTATTTCTTACGAAATTTTGACTTTGAAAACTCAGGAAAAGTCGAAAAAAAATTATATCTTGTGTCCTCTATTTTTTTGTGTATAGGTGCGTTAATTTGGCGTCCTTTAAGGTATCGCTCATTAAAATCTATGGAGAGACTTTGGAGCTAAAATTCGTTAACCAAACCTAAAATATGGAAAAAATGAACAAAAAATACCTTTTTGAAGGCGGCGGGCCCAACTGCCAATTGGGAACAAAGGAGCGCGATCAGGTACCAAATGTACAACCCTTGTTCGTTTGTACCAGACTTCAAAAATTCTTCAAAAAAAAGTTCTGCCATAGAAAAAAAACCATAATTCTTTAAAAAATTTTAAATCCCCATATCTATCAGAAAAAGTCGGTTTGGATCCTTGAGGAAAAAAAAAGTTCGATTTTGTCGAGTAGTGTAATTGGTGAAATCTATTGCATATATATTGATACCATTCATATCGTCATTAATCAGTTATTGGCAGTAAGAAACGTGCACAAGTTTATGCGAACTAGTTAACTAAATATATCAATCTCAGCTATACTTCTAATCGTTAATTTTTTAAAAGAAACTAAAAAAAAATAAAAATGCCTTATTTTCAATATGAACTAGTGTCTAAGTTTCAATATTGTTTGAAAAAACCGACGAACTAAATTTTTTTTATGTATATTTACCCAAAAGCTTGTATTTTCTTTTCGTGGTAACAACCCCCAGACATTAAACTAAAAATTTGCAAAAAAATTGTATAATTTTATTGAATAACAAAGAATAGAATTAGGGGGTGGGGTGTCCCTTTGAAAAAAACAAAAAATTAATTTTTTGGTCAAATTTTGTCCCAGCCTAATATATATATGTAAATTTATTTGAACTAGTATGAATTTACTCGATATAAATACATATGTATGTATGCCGTGTAACTCTAAGTAAACGGGAATGGTCCACGTCTGTCCAAGAAACAAATAGAAAAAAATTAACTGATTTTATAAATATTAGATAATTCAAAAAGTGCCTTTACGATATACATACATTTGTGATGATACATATTAGGCTGCGCCAAAAAATATTTTTTTCGAAATTCAAACGGGACACCCCCTAGTTTTGTTACCTTGGATTTAATAGAAGTTTACATGATTTGATTTTTTTTAATTTTTTAGAGGTTGCTACCGAACTTTACAAAAAATTTTAATCAAGAAAATTAAAAAAAAAATGTTTGCGGGTTGAGTTTGAGTTGGATAATTTGTTAAATCTTTTGCATATATATTAGTACCATTCATATCGTCATTAATCAGTTATTGGCAGTAAAAACCCTGCACAAGTTTTTGCGAATTAGTTAACTAAATATATCAACCTCAGCTGAACTTCCTGATTTTCACCAATCGTTAATTTTTTAACAGTAACTAAAAAAAAATAAAAATACCTTATTATCAATATGAACTAGTTTCTAAGTTTCAAAATTATTTGAAAAAACCGCCGAATTAAATTTTTTTTAATGTATATTTACCCAAAATTTTTTATTTTCTTTCCGTGGTAGCAACATTAAACTAAAAATTTGAAAAAAATTGTATAATTTTATTGAATAACAAAGAATAGAAATGGGGAGTGTCCCTTTGAAAAAACAAAAAATTAATTTTTTGGTCAAATTTTGGCCCAGCCTAATACATATACATATATGCAGATAAAGACATTTGTTTATAGTCAATGTGGTTATGAAAACATCATTGATAGAATCTGCCTGTTTTCTTTTGCGTACTCCTGAAAATTATATCTCATTTTAAAACCCCAGAAGTTTTCAAACCATTAAGTGGATGAGCTAAAAAGACATGTAAAACAAAACAAACAATGCAACATTTGTTGCAGACGAGATGCAGCTACATACTTTAAACATGCATACACACATATGTATATGTAGTTTATAGGGTATGGCCAGTATGGAATTTTTACTGACTTCGAACGTTTAATCTTAGCAAAACAAGCATTAATTGTAGTTTAATATTAAAAGTATTAATGAAACAGATACAGCTGAAAGTATTCTTCTGTTATTATACCCTTGGACAGGGTGTTAGGAACGAAGTAGCTCTGACCACTTTTACATATACATATGTACATACACACTTTAGGACATGCCATTATCTCAGTTTTATATCACCCACTGCAATTTAAGCACATTGGAGACTTAATTTATTTTTGAACGATTGTAATTTAACAATAATTTTGTTCCACTTCCTAAAGTATTTATGAACTAATATTAACAAAAAAACGTCAAAATTCTGGGTCGTAATGGGACTAAACAAACAATAATTTTCATAATCATGTTGATAAATTGAAATTGTGCAAAATCCTCTTTCAGCAAACAATTCTACCACAACGCATTTACTTTAGTTGATAAAAATTGCAACTTGAAGATGGCATAATACGAAATAGCTCCCGACACATGCTTAGCCTTTTTATTTGCTTAGAATTCGAAATAGCTCGAGGCGTTCTTGTCAGACTTGCCTTGAAACTACATTTCGTCATGTTTTTTTGCCAATGAATCTTTTAAATTTTACGTTTATCATTATAAAAGTCCCCTATGCGATTTATTAAGCGCACAGTCTCTGAGTAATTTTATGTTTTTCTCATATTTAGACATATTACTTACAAATTTGATTAAAACGTGTGGGCTCCTTCAGATTTGTTAACGCCTTTGTGCAATAGATAGCCCAGCCACATAGCCTCAGCCTCGGTTAAAGCAGTGCTAGCAGTGGGTGATAGAAAGCTGACTTAATGGCGAGTCATATTCAAGTGATCACAATGGCATCAAAGTCGATATACCTCTGAGTAACATTTCTCTGAAACATCGTTGTTTTTCTGTTAGTTTTCTATTAAAAAAAACGTGAGACATTTAGACAGGCTCCGGCTTTCATTTTCGCAAGAAAATTCCGATTTACTTTTCAAAACGGAAAGTTAGGTGTTCCCGCATTCGTAAAATTTTATCCGTTTTTCAAAACGGCAACAAATTCTTTGCCGAAATGAAAAGTAATCGGCTTTTTATACATTAAAACGAATCTTAATTGAAAAATAGATTGCTGATTGAAGGTGTCCCTCCACAGGTGAACATGCTTGCAACGAGCTCACAAAAATAGAACAGGTTCTATTTCGTCGAGCACAGCTGACGAGCCAAAAAACAGCTACGAGCAGTTCATCCACAGTCGAACTCTCGTCGAACTCAACATGCATGCAGCGCATGTTAGCATCTGGATAGGCACCTTGATGCATTGACATGGATTTGACACCATTTCCAGTGCAATTGAGCTTGTGACCTTTTTAAAAATAACTTTTATTTGAACCAACCTCAAAATTAGATCTGAGAAAAGTAGTCAACAACAAATAGTGAATTCCTCCGAACTGCTGTGGCAGCCCGATTTGGTTATCGGTAAATCTCTGTTTAACATAACAGAGGATTTTTTGTATGAGCTGGCCCTAACGCGTGGGTATAACAGGAGTAAATTTCGCGCTTAACAGTACAGGAGGAAATAAACCTTACTTTTGCGAATGTCAGAGCGCTTTGAAATGAAAAGTATGAACTTTAGCCGAAAAACAATAAAAAAGTAAGTGAAAGCTTGATAGTAGTTTCATATAGTTTCAGTTGTTTTTGCCTCTAAGATATATTTTCATTCTTATTAAAACTCATGCAGTCTTTTTAATTACGACAATTTCATGTTTTTATTAGAAAATTTAAAAAGTTAACTCCTTTTTGAGAGTTTTTATTACAGAAAAGATGAATAGGTAAATGATTGAGGAATATGCAATCACCGATACTACATGAAAAGCAATAAAATATTATTAAATAATGAATAGTCAACATTAAATTATTTACATTTAGGTATAAGCAGAAAGCAATATACATACATATGTACATAGTAAAACCATGAAAAATATTAATAAAATTTTACAGTTGTTTCTTAAAAAATCTTGTTTAGTTTAATTTTCGCCCATATGGTAGTACAGGTAAATTTAAAAAATGCGCTTTTATTGTGATACGAGAGTCGTTAATTATATTTCATGTTTAAGTCACTGTAATTTTTGACCATAGTAGGAGCCAAGTGTGCTTTTTCTATTATCTGTTATAAGCCTACTAGGCAGACTTCAGTTTTCACTTTCACAAAAAAATGTGATTTAATGTGTTTTTAAAACGGCAAAATATTTCCCGCCAAAATGAAAAGTAAACCGCTTTTTATACAAGAAAACGAATATTAATTGCAAAAGGAAAAAATAGATGACTTATTGACATTAACATAAATTTGACACCATTACCAGTGCAATTGAGCTTGTGCCATTTTAATAAATAACTTTTATTTACACCGACCTCAAAATTAACAGAGGATTTTTTGTATGAGCTGGTATTAACGCGTGGGTATAACAGAAGTAAATTTCGCGCTTAACAGTACAGGAGGAAATAAACCTTACTTTTGCGAATGTCAGAGCGCT